GGGTGGGGGGGTGCGGCGAGAGCGGTATTTAAATTTACAACAAAAAGCCATTTAAAATACCTTGTGGGGTTTGGTTAGCACTGAACTGGGCAGTCGTCTGGGAAATCACCTCCAGGCTCTTTTAAAGACTGGAGACTGAGTCCATTTTATGCTCCCAAACTACTGGGGGATCCCTCTCATGACTGGTTTGGGATAAACACAGACAAATGCTTGCCAGCCCAGCTTTCTTTCTAAATATTCTGTCAGCAAAAGAATCAGCCATTACAACATTACCTTATGTCAGGCAAGGTTACAATTAATTAGGTTATAGCTTATTTTAGAGTAATTACATTTTAGATTGGTGGCTCCCTGATGAGATTTCGTTATTTTCGGGAAGAGTACCACAGATGGCTAATCCTATCAAAGTTGTTTTGATTCATGCTAGCTCAAATTTATAATGAGATTTTGACATTTGTATCCCACTTATCATGGAGGTTACTGATTACTGAGCCCTGGTTGCTCCCTATACCCCAATTCTAAACACCTCCTGCATAATACTCAGGGCATACACACTGCGATTTCTTTTTTACATGTGGGGCATTTAGACAGAAAGCAGTTAAGAGATGCAGTCGAGGATACCATAAAAACAGTGATAGTTCCTTCTTGTGAATCTGTCTTCCTAACACTTCCCTGTCCCTGGGAAAAGATTGTTTTTTAGTATTTTGTTGGTTCAATTCCTTCTCAATGTGTATAATTAAGAAGAGCTATTCTAAAAAATCTAAGGTTTATATGTCTTCCTTAGTTTTAATGAAACCAGAAGATGAAGGGACCATACCTATTATACTCATCAAAAGCCACCCCCCATTAACTACTTAAGCTTTCTGAGCCAAATAGCAGTTAAAAGTAATTAGTATCAACATAGCCTTCTACATTATCCTTAAAATAATGGATTCATTAAACTAGTTTCCTCATTTTTTTTTTTTTTACAATTCATTCATTCGCTCAAAAAACATATTTATTGAGTGTCCATTCTGTGCCAGGCTCTGTTCTAGATCTCAGGGGTGGACCCCTGTCAGGGGTTACCGTCAGTACAGTTTTAACTATCAAAAAAAGATATCAGTATGCCACTTTCGATCTAATTTTAGAAGAGAATTTGTTATTACCTGTCCAACATTTTGGTGCTGGCTCGTTCCAGCTTCTCAAGTATCTGAGGAAGTTGGGTATCGTCATCGTATGAGCCTCCCCAGCCAAGAACCCGGGCAAGGTCATTTCCTGTACCCAGAGGCAGTACTCCCAGCTGACACTGAAAGACAGCCCCACAGAGACCTCAGACAAGTTGACACATAGGGACTCTGACATTTCTCTACATCACTGGTCAGTAGGTTAGGATAACTAGCAGTGAAAGGAATGACCACTTGCCTGTTTATTCAAGTTGAGCTTATCAATTTCTGACAAAACCCAACCTACACTTCCATCTCCTCCACAAACAAGAATCCGGAAATTGTCAAACTTCTGGAATAATCTTAAACTGAAAGAAAAAAGTATTTTATTTTAGTATAAATAAATAAAACTCGCGTTCCCCAATTCTTTGTCATTCTGTTAGTTATTGGTATTCATGTTCACATTAAATATAAGAACTCTTGCATATGAATTATACTATGAAAATCAACTTGAGTGCAATGTGTAACTCAAGAAAATGTCTTAATCAGAAAGCGGAAAGGAGATTATAAGTAGAAATGGAGACAAAATTAGGAAAAAAGGGGAGTGAGAAATGAGGAAACAAAAAAGAAGCAGAACCCAGGAAAGAGAATGAAAGGTAAGTGATAGGCGATGGTAAGAGTACAGAGACTTTTCTCTTTCCTTCACAAGGAAATGTTATTTCCGTGAGTAGCATATTACAAACTAGAGAGGAGAATCTAGGGCCCTGATGCTGCTGAGTGGCACAGGGGCAGTTCCTAAAGAGACCCACCAAACCTTGCCCAGTGTACCCCTGCCATACTCCCAGTAGCTGTTTCGCTTCCTTTTTTCCTATTCTCAGGTCAACCTTTCTACTTCTGTCTTCCTTCATCTCAAATTTTGACACACTTCACCCTGCGAATGTACCTTTGTACACCTCAAGTATTGTGGAAAATCGAAAAAAAATATGGAGACAGTCTCAAGGGGTTTCACAAAGGGAGTTGCTTAGAATTTTAGAGGATGGGTAGAAAAAATAAATGTCAAAAATAGAAGATATTAGAACCATCAAGGATTATAAAACAGATATGCTAGAAAGGGGGACAAAGCTAACCAGCAATGGGAGAGACAAAGGTGAGGAGAGAGGCTAGATGAGGAAGTGCCAGGACACATGCAGGAGAAAGGAAGGGAGGTACAAGCACATAAGGAAAGAGCTGGGTTCAAGTGAAAAAAGACCAACACTCATGGGACCAGAAGGGCTTGAGACAGCAAGAAAAAGGCAATGGAAACAAGAAGGAAGACCCTGAAAGGACACAATGAAAAGAGGCACAAAGAGAGGCTGAGGAGAGAAACAGAGAAGATAGGAGAGTGCTAAATCACAAAACACAAAGGCCTTCTCAGGAACTGGTATCTGAAATCTTCATTTCTACTTCTGTGTTTATGATTTACGGTGACAGTGGAACCCAAGAGAAAAGCCGAGTTGGTGTAAGTAAATTATAAGGAGATCACAGGCTCTTGGGTCAGATGACACAATATCACCTCTTCAACAAAAATCATATATATACACTAAAAATGTATTCAAAGTGCCTCAAGGCATATTTTCCCTCTGGAAAATATATTTAAGCTTTTCCCCTCAGATTTTAGGTTATATGACATTCCAGAAAGTTTGAAAAGAACAATTAACAGAAGTACTTTTTTGTCATGTATGGGAACTGAGTCTGAAATCCTTGAGGGCCTGTCCTTGAGGCCCACAACAGTATCTGTGCTTCGGTTAAATAATTGATTATTTGTATTATATACAACTCAATACTACCCTCCCATGCAAATCATTTTCTCAAGTTATTTTTTGTATTTCTATATTTACACAAGTTGATCTACTTTGTAGAGCTAAGCAAACAGAACTGTTTGATGTAGGATATATTCTAAAACATTTTCTAAACAAACTTTAGAACTTTCAGCACCCAAGGAAGATATATAAGTATCAAAAAGTTTATGTTAAAATTTATAATCAGAACTTTAAAAAAAGGGAGATGTCAGAAGATCAACACAGAGATGTCTAGATGAATCTGCAATTTTCATCAGCTGAAAAACCAAGTGTATTTCGTGCTCAGTGCTACATATCATTCAAACGAGATTTATCAATAATCAATTACCCTAAATGAGGACCGCCATTCATCAAATCAAACACCTGAGCTGGATTTAGTAACTGTTTAAATCGGCGAAGAAACTTTACTCCCTGATTATCTCCACTCTTAGAATTGACAAAAACCAATAGAGGACTAACACAGAATGAAAATGTTGCTCTACAGAAACCTGTTAAAAAAAAGAAACAAAACACAGCACAAGATCAATACGTACAGCTTTCTCTTTTTAAACTCTTAAAAAAACTTCAGAGGAAAAAAGATAAATTCATAAATAAAGAACCTTGCTTGTTACTTTAACAATGTCATCATTTAGCACCCCCAAAAGGAGATAGGTTTATTATTTACATACTAAGACCATAGAACTTATCTTTCAAAATGTGCACTATAATGAAAAACCATACCAAAGATGGTAAAAGTATTAATCATAGATAAATTGAGATCTACCACCTGCCTTAACAACACTTAATTATTAAGAGAAACCAATCATAGTCTATAAGTTCACAACTGTTAAAGGATTCATGTCCATTTTCGGCATTATATTTAACTCCTCCTTGATAAGGCCTTAGAAAATACTTTTAAATTTTATAATAAATAACATAACTTTGATATATCAGGGTTTGGCTGGGGGGGCTGTTAATAACACAGGTTAACAAATCATATTTTCAGCAGCTTATAATATCTATGATATCTACTGGCATCATTTACATAAAAAGTTTGAAAAGCATAAGGCACTTTATCGATGCAAAACATTGATAAGTTTATGGTAAAAGCCTTTTGTAATATGGTTTGCTTACAAGGAAGTTATTAGTATGCTATTCCAAAACCAGTGCTGTAAACAGGTTCTTCAGTACGTACAATTAAGTTGTAAAATTCCAGAAAAAGTGAATGAATTTATAGGAGTATAAATTCCTACAATGAAATGGTAAGAAAACACATTTCAATAAGAGCTATGCTAACGGGCAGCTTCAATTACGGAGGGGGGAAAAATTGCTTATAAAAAATTAATCTTTGCATATTGCATTTTGTTACAGAATAACAATCTCATTTTATTCGCTGAAATGTAAATCTTATACACTGTAGTTTCACCACTGTGTTAATAGTTATGTTTTTACACCTTAATTTTAAAACGTTCTTTTCTGAATTAAAGGTACTGTTCTGCAATTGAAATGGAATTATTATATAAAAACTAACCAGAATAACCAATTACAGTTCTATTTATTCTAGGAAAATAGATGTACATATCAACATTTGATACACCAGGAATACACATACTTACACTACTGCTACATACCATCAGAATCGGTGCTGTTCAGTGCAATTGGAGGTATGACAGATACTCTACATTGGCCAAGCGGACATATAGGATGATATAAATCTTTGCAGGCAGTGTGTACCTGATAACAATGAAATAAACCTTCAGGAATCATAAAAACACATCAATGTTTTATTATGGTATAAATTATATCTAAGGAACTGGTAAATGAAGATCAAGTGCATCCCAAAATGTTCAGTAATTCATAAATTACTTTAATGGCACAATATTTATACTTCTAAGGAATGGCCTAATCATTTTAGAGATGGGAATTTGATTTGGTCTGTACAGCCTGTTTTCATGATTGTCTCAGGCAAGTAGTATGTAGTCAATAAATGCCTGGTGAAGGGAAGGAGAGCGGAAGACAAGAGGAAGTGCAGAGGAAGGGAGGAAGGAGGGAGGAAGGAGGGAAGCGAACCAGTGAGTGTCAATATAACTGTCCATAGGAAATGATGACGACATCTACCTTATAAAATTCTTACAGAATTTAATGAAGATTAATACTATCTGTAATGTGTCTGCTCTTTCTGCAGTGATCTATAACTTTCTATTCACACATCTTTTATAATACTGTCATGTTATTATAGTTATAAGTACATCCATGCCTATGTTCTCAGCTAGACTTCTGGCTCTGTAAGGAAAAGGAAAAGGTCCTATTATTGCCCCCTCATCTTGGAAAATGATACACATCACAGGCACTCAGCAAGTGTGTTAACTCTGTAGAACAAAAAGTTTCAAGGTCACTCAAGCAGGGCAAACATATCAAGTAGGACCCAGGCAATTTAGAATAATTTAGGTACTCAACTAGAGAGCCTTTAAATGTTTTATTAGTAAGAGCAGGCACTTCATAAAGCACTTATTTAATAAGGCTTTATTTCATTAGTCCTTTTAGAAAACTGGCATATCAATTAAACATGTATTTATCAAAACTTTTGAGAAAATAATTGAAATTTAATAGCGATTCTTGTTCTGCTGATGACCTAATTTTGGACCATTTCCTGTTATGACTTATAATCATTAACAATCCAAATGGATTTGAGAAAAATGAGCAGGCACAGATAGTTTTAAAAGGAATTTAAAACGTATGAGAATCATAGGGTATTTTGCTCTATGATTACAACAATGTTAAATGAGAAAAGCAGAGATAAAATTGTATCTTCACTATTTTTACAGAAAAGGTAAAACTATGCCCAGAGATTGGACAACAGCTGGAAAAATTAAGAGTTATTAGGATTGTGGAACTATGACTGTTAGGATTGTGGAACTATGGTTTGGTTTTGTTTTGAACCAGGTGACTATGTTTAGACACTAGACGTTTTGCTGTTAGAAACTCATATTTTAAAGGCATCAAAGTATCATAATGGATAAATGACAGTGTATAGGAAGTACAAGATTAAGAGGCATGTAACAAAAGTGATGGTGGTCCAGAAACATGCATGTCCAACTGACACATGGAATGATTTCATGCAAAGGTGACATTTAAGTTTGCCAGGAAAAAAGAGGAAAGACATTCCAGAATCATCCCTTCTACAGTCTATAATAATACTTCTGTCGCATTTGCGAAATTTTTTAAATGTGGCAGAGAGTGGAACAAGCAAGTAAAAAACCTAATTTAACTTCTACTGCTTTTCTAACTCCTACTGTTAAACTTAATAAAGTTTAAATACTGCTGACTAATTTATCCCTCCCCCGCTTTCCCTTTTGGTTACCATAAGTTTGTTTGCTATGCCTGTGGGATAAATTAGGAGTGTGGGATTAACATATACACACTATGATATATCAAATAGATAACCAACAAGGACCTACTATATAGCACAGGGAACTATACTCAATATTTTGTAATAACCTATAAAGGAAAATTATCTGAAAAAGAATACATAAACATATATATGTAGGTATAACTGAGTCACTGCGCTGTACACCTGAAACACACAACATTGTAAATCAACTACAATAGAAAAAGGCAACTACTGACTAAACACAAGTAGAGACCTATATATTGCAGGTAAAGACAAGCTACATAAAACCTTTCTAAAATAATTCATCACACCGATGACCTGCTTTCTTTTCAAAAAGTTATAAAAGAATAGCTGAAGTTCCAGAAGTAGAGAAATAGACTTCAGTAAATGCAGGCTAATAAAAATAGTGGTAGATGCATACATAGTGGTTGTCCCCCCAAAAAAGAAATCTTAGGTGGGATGGAATCTTGATTTAAAATCCTGTTTACGTGAGCACTCCTTTAAAATAAGGAACAGCAGAAAGGGGTTTTCAGGGTTAGGGTTGCACCAAAACTCCAAAGAGAGGTATCTAATATAGCCTGCATATTATATTACATGGGATAAAAGAAATAAAAAGTAACATCTATGTCAATAAAAGAGGCAATCGATGAAGAATAACAAAAGCATGGGGATGAAGAGAATCATGTTCGATTCAAAAATGAAAAAGAGGGGACTTCCCTGGAGGTCCAGTGGTTAAGACTCCTCGTTTCCACTGCAGGGGGTGTGGGTTCCAACCCTGGTGGAGAACTAAGATCCCGCGTGCCGGGCAGCACGGCCAAAAAAATTTAAAAACAAAAACAAAAAAGAAACACAAGATTGTCTATCAGGCCTGACTAAAAAATTATAGGACTGCTTTTTCTCTGTGGCCTATGGACTCAATCTCATTGATTATGAAATCAACATATCACACGCACATCTCTTGCATTTTCTCATCTTCACTGTGCTTATTAAAAGCAATGGTTTTCCTTCTTTTTGTTGGGGGAAGGGGCTGACTTCCAAGACTCAAAACACGACCAAACAACTCTGCCCCAAAGCAAGGCGATCAGCATCGTAATCAGACAGCATCACCCGGCGCTCAGGTGAGCACTCACTGCCTCCTCGTCCTGCTGTCTTTTAGCCCCACATCACCCTCTGAGGGGCGTGAGGTCACCCTCTGAGTTCCTGCACCGACTGCCCTCCTGCAGGGTGGAGGCCCAGTCCTCACACAGTCTGGCAGAGATGGGACCCTTGTTTGCCGTTGGCTCCACGTTATGCTGTGTCTGCTTCTCACCACTTTCTTGCACATGCAAAGAAGTTTTAAAATATTTACTTATTTACATAACATAAATGTATATAATCTAAATTATATCAGTGCACAGCCTACTGAACTCGGCTTCTTTCTCTCGGAGAACACACACGGGATTGTAGCAAACTTACACTTGGCCTGTTAGTCAAAATTTGGTGGCTTTCTGTGGGCAACAGGTAGTAAAACAGGCTGAAAACAGCAAACCACTTAAGTGTGGCTAAAGCTTGATGAAAAACAATAAAACTGTGGGAAAGAGGTCCTCACACAAAGGGACAAGAGTAGGTGTCACAAAAAGGGCATTTGCAAAAGTAACCAGAGTGGAAGGAACGCATCTTGAAAAAAGATGAACCTTACAAACGGGTGCGTGTGCTACCAGGCTCTGCTCTGCCATAAATTGTTAGCTGTGTCCCTCAATCACACAGATGGAAAAGGTACAGAAAGAAACATTTTAAATGGAAAATAATTATAAAACTCTCACCATCGTTTTACACCAAAGGCATCTCCAGTCTTGAAGACGGAGAACGCTGCCACACGTTTTTTCACAGACAGCACACTTGGCACTCACGGGCAAGTTACCCTCGAGCCACTGGTGGGGCATAGCCAGCTGTGCAGCAGAAAGAAAGGGCAGTCAAATTAAAGACCGTGGAGGACATCATTCTTAGCCAAGGGAAGAGATACAATGATACCTTACTCTATGGAATCAGCACCATGTATCATTCGTGGCATATGTTCATTTCCCCCACATTTATTGAGCAGCTATTATGCCCTGAGCACTGTAGGGATATAAAGATAAGTAAGACTAAACCCCTGCCCTGCAGGATTTGCAGTCTCGCTGAGAAGAAAGGCACATAGAGAGATTATCATAAAGTGACCACGAAGTGTTATCAGCAATTCACATGCAAGGCAGTCAAGGTTTTGAAGGTGTGGGGCACCACTGAGAGGAGGCCCCAAAGTCTCAGGAGTAAACATGTGAGTAAACGGCTGAGCTGAGCCTTAAAGAATAACTCAGTTGGCCAGATAAGGGTCTACAGCACCAGCACAGCACAGCAACCACTCCTAAGCCCTTACACAACATTCCCCTTGAAATTTAAGAGCTGAAGGAAGCTACAAAGAACTGGATTGAAAATAAAAAGTCACAATCAACCAAAACCTTCCATCTAATCATAATAATAAACACTCCCACTGAACCCTCTGTCGTAATTGAACTAACAGATGCTCCCACTTAATTTCGACAGGAGAGGAAAATAAAAGAGCGGGGGTGCCGGGGAGAGATGGGAGACAGTACGAGCTTACCCCATCCTCGTTCTCTATGATGTCCTTCCCGATGGAGGCCAGGGTCGTCCACTTGCAGTTATTTGTTGCTCTCACTGCACACCTTTTATGAGCCTTGAACTTACACACTTAAAAAAAAAAAACAAAGTGAACCATTGCTAAATGAATATGCACTTTTGGACCAACAATGAAAGGAAATCACAGCATGAAATTTTAAAGTGGTCGGGGGGCAGAGGAAAAACAATATTTGTAAAACCTTCTGTTACTCTTCAATGATATTCTAAAAAGCAAATATGGCTATGTGTTTATGAAGCACTTTGATCAAGCTATAGATTGCTACTTAAAGAGCTTCCACTTACTCTAAAAGAAGAAAAGAAAGGAAATAAATACAAAAAAAAATTATTGAGGAGAAGGGAGACAACACACACACAACAGAAGAAAATAAAATTCAGTAATACAGGAGGTCTGGTAACAGCCAATTTCTAAGTCTGGGTGCTGACTACATGAATGCGTTTAATTTGTGAAAATTCAACAAGCTGTGCACACTTCTGATATTTGCTTTTTTCTGTACGTATAATATACTTAAATCAAAAGTTTGAAACTACCAGAGAGATAAAGACCAAGACAATTCAGGGGAATTTTAAACTGCAAGTACATCAAGAAAATATCCAGGCATCATGGGAAATAGGTTGACGAGGGTCACAAAGATAGCACTGTCTTTTGAAAGCATCCTGTTGGGATGACTACATGACAACGTGGAAGGAATGATGAAGTGATGTTCCTACTACAGGCATCGCTAATTCTCCCAGGCCATATTATCAAAAAGGTGCCTGCAAAGGAGAAATAAGAGGAAACAACCAAGACAGAAGCCGCACATATATGAAAAAACAAATAAACCACAGATGATTTGAAAAATTAACCCTTGCTTATGAAAATCAGAACTTGACTCCTACTAAGCTTATCCATCCCTCTAGGGACACACATTATCCAAGCGTTAATGGACGTTATGAAAGAGTTTCTGACTTTTCAGGCGGCTCCTTATCACATGGTTTTGGATTTTCTACCAGTAAATCGTTAACAAATTTGAAATGACGGGTTACGCACCATTCTCTTTAAATTGTCCTAATTTGATGTAACATGAAAACGAAGGGGTCAAGTAAAATAACTAAGATGCCTATAGCCAAATGTTCAGAATGCTTCAAGTATCATGAATAGCCAATATATGAATGGCCACTTAAACTGAGCTGGTTTTTCCTTTAAAAATATTAGTCTATAGACACTGGCAATGTTTCATTTACCTGTCCTTTTGTGTACAATGACAAGTTCTTTCCTAGAAATCATACTATTTTTGTTATAAGTGACTTTGTGACTAAGCACAGACTTCGTATAGAAAACAAGTTTTCAACTGAATTTTACTGCTGATAAACAACAGTATAAAGAAACAGCACCATAGGAAATTAGCTTAGTTTGAAAAAAAAAAATTTAGCATGACCTGTCCCTTTTTGCTCCAAGTGACTTTTAAATTATTTAATATTTTAAACTATTTAAATATTGTCATCTGTTACTGTATTTCTCAAAAGTATGGTTCTAGTTTTAGTTCTAGTTTTAAAAAGCAGGCTGCTTTTTAAGTACAAATAAGTACTTGATATTAACAGTCAATATTTTTTCTAAGAGGCAAAGAAGGAAGTAAAAAGAGGGCAACACAGTATAATTTCATGGCTTTTTGAAGATTTTGCCATTAAAAATCAAACAGCTCATTAAAAATAAAAATCACTTTTGTAATAATAAAGTTCTTCATGCAATGAGCCTTGAGAATTACACAGTTGCTTAATACAACATATACAACATATAATGATAAAAATAAAACAAACTGGGCTGTAACTATGGACACTAAGGAATGGACATGATTACAAGGCACCTTAATTTGTGCCTAGTAATTAGCTGACAATTAATTTTCTCCAAACAAGTTATTCTGAAATAAGGCACTTTTTCCTGACCTGTAAAGTCATTATTTCAAAACCATAAAACATAAAAAATACAGACATGTAACAAATTATGATTCTTTATTGCAATATTCAGTCTTTACCACTTTGTAAGTGTTCATGGGTACTTAACATAAAAATAAGTACCCATGTGGAGATATTTATGCTGTTGATTAAAAAAAAAAATCACCACTTAACTTTTTATTCTTAGAGTGCTGTATAAATAACTGTGAAGCACAATTATGCTCTGAAATTATAATTAACACTCTCAATTGACTTAGGGGATTATTTATGAAATGTATTTTCTGTCTTCTATTTTTCATTCATATATTTTGTATATGCAAGGCTTTAAAATCATAATTTTAGTTATTATTCAACACAAGACAAATCAGTACAGACTCTTTTAACTGTGAAAACAAGGACAGAAAGATTAAGTAAATTTAGTGGTGGCGTTACACACTGGAAGTGAGATTCCATTCTAATACAATGTTATTCATTGTCATTGTTGAATGAATTTTTCCTGTATTTGCATCTCTGTAATAACTTTTAAAGCGTCTTGTATTTTAAGCCCTTAGTTTTATCAAGCAGCAGTTTATTCAGATTTCAAGGGGGTTTCTAAAGTTTAACTTTGCTTACAGTAAAAATGTCCTAAATAACCACAGTCTCATGAAATAAAAAGGCAACTTTTTTGTATATTCATAAAACCCTTGGGATTTTTAAAACCTTCTGCGGCAGTTTTAAAAATACTCCATGGGCAAGACGCTGTAGATTTAAAATTTTTATTAGCAGAGAAAATGAATACTAACATATATTCCCCTAAAAATATAATTTAAAAATACTATAATTGAGACTTAAAAAAAGTCAGGAACTTACTTAGTAATAGAATAATGTTAACACATGTATTTAAAGACTCTTAAGTTTTTTATTCTCACCAGCTAATATAATTTTCATTTTTCTTTTAAAATGCTTAGAAAAATATAGTCATCCCACTATTAACTTCAATTCCTAAACAGTTAACTATATTTAATAACACATAACTCTCAAAACAGAAGGATACCACAGATCAGATCTAAGCCTATTTTAGATCTGATTTTTTTTTTTTAGCATTTTGAGGATAATAGACTATAAGGTAATAGTACAAAGACCTCCAAAATAACCCCATATAATATTACAGCCCTAGTAGAGTTACAGGAACACTTTTAGATGACTAAAGTCATAAAGACCAATTATATCTTTGTTTGCAATCATTCTTTAAATCTAAAAAAAAGTTTAATGCCTCCTCCAAATTCTCATTTTCATGAATTTTAACGCATCAAGCCATGATGCAATCTGTAATTGTTTACTTGGTGAACTTCTTATATAATGCAGTTACAAATGTCTACCATATATTTGACTAGAAAAGTAGTGTTATTGTATGTACTCTCTCCTTTCATTTTCATAGTACTCTGTGAGGTAGAAATGACTATTATCCCCATTGTACAGATGAGGAAGCAAAAGTCTAAAAGGGTTAAACTACTCCTGGTCACAGTTTGTGGCGGTAAAACTGGAATTGGAACCCACAGGGTTTAACTACAGAGCTCTATTCTTATCCACTAGGCTGTGTCATTGTCATATTAAGTAGCTGAAATACTGACATATCTTGGATTTTGTCATTTAAAATGAATTAAAACTATGACGCCATTTCTATTTTATTATTTACTTACGATACAGTTTTATTACAAGATTACCTAAGAATTTTTTATATTAGAGAGAAAAGCTAAATAATGGTATTATATGTAGTTCAAAAGTAGTACACAGTGATGGAATCACTGAGGTATTAAATTAAATAAATCTACAGAAGGTATGAGCTTTCTCTTGTTGACTATTAATGTATTTCTTTTAAGTGGTCACTGTTCTTAAATTTAAAAATAACCCACAAATCCTGCGATGAGAACAACAGCATAGACCTTATTTTTAGAAAACTTTAAAGAAATGTAAAAGGATGACATCCATTTAAATTAAACATAAATGAAATAAAACATTTAAAACAATGCAACATAAGTAACAATCTAAATCCTGCCAAAAAGTATATACTGTCCTCACAGAAAGTTTTGTTCTCTGTAATTAAACAGAACAGAAAAAGAATACTAGGAAATTAGAATGATACACAAAGTCTAAAGAATTTTCTTTAACGGTAGTTGCTAGTTCCTCAGGAGGGAAATGCTACATTTTGATTTATACGTCCCTTCAAATGATTTTATGTTATCTTTTCCTGAGCCAAAATATTTTCCAAGTTGGTCCTATGTGTGCAGAGCTTCACCATAAGTCACAGTAAAATTAAAACACTCTGGTCCCACTGACACGCTCCCAGCTACTGCTTCCACCCAAGGGAAATGTCTTCTTATGATGATGTTTCTCTGTTCACAGATATACACGTGGCAGCGTGTTTACAGTAAGGTCAGTGTCAAGGGAGAACAAACCCTGGATGTTACTGTACCTTCGCAGGACAGGCCATGGGAGGTGACCCCAGAAAGACTCTCTCGGCAGACGTTACAGAAAGTGGGTCGGGCATGGGAGCAGGCGTACCAGTTATGCATCCCTGAGAAATGTTCCACATTAAACTGGGCCACCTAGAAATGAGACGTTAACACAGATTTGCAAAACAAGAGAACAGGACTACGTTTGGTACGCGGGCCTCTCACTGTTGTGGCCTCTCCCATTGCGGAGCACAGGCTCCGGACGCGCAGGCTCAGCAGCCATGGCTCCCGGGCCCAGCCGCTCCGCGGCATGTGGGATCTTCCCGGACCGGGGCACGAACCCATGTCCCCTGCATCGGCAGGCACACTCTCAACCACTGCTCCACCAGGGAAACCCTCAAATCCACAATTTTTAAAACTAAAACACTTTGCTTTAACTTAAAAAAAAATCAGTATCAGGTTTAAACAAGTTGCTGAATGAATCTACACATACTTTTTTTTTGTCGCAGAATATAGCTTTAGCGCTACGGTTCACATTTATTCTCTAAGAACACGAGATGACAGGAGAGAGGCTACTTTACCTCGTAAGTTTCTCTGGTCTGTACAGACTTCAGTGAGCTGATCCAATCCTCCATCTCTTTCCTATTCTCAGCACAAAGCATTAGTCTTCTGAATGGAGTGATTATCTGAAAGGGATAGTGCAACCTGATTGTTTATTAACCAACAAAGAGAGATTATTGCAAGACCTAACATCTTACAAGGTGGTACCATTTCTAATCTCGAGTCCTTACTTCCTTGATGAAGAAAGTAAGATTCTCTGTAAGGTAAATGGATTTAGTTCTCAGCATGATACAATGTGGTCCAGGAAAGAAAAAGTCTAAGGAGACTTTTCTTCTCTTTGCCCTCACTGCTAGTTACTTATCAGGCTTTCTAGCCCTTTACCCAAGGCTATGAACTCATATAAGCAGAATATTCTTAACTCATGTAATATATCTTGAAAATGGATTCTAAGTAGAAATCAAAATAATTCATAGTAAGCTAGAGTTAACACATATTTTTCAATATGGAAATTTTGAAAAATCAAAAATCAAAGGAATGAGATATTAAATGATTTCATAATTGGTTTATGATAGTATCAAGGCTATTCTGCTTTAAATAATGTTGGGTTTACAGATCCTTTCCATGGCCTATTTTAATATGATTTATGTGATGGATTTTCTTCCCATTGTGTAGAACTCCACTGTACTTTTTAGTGAGAACAGGGAAGAATCATTAGCATATAAGTCCTTTAGTTGGCTTTAAGGGATGAAAATAATTGTGACTTTCATCTTTTTATCATGTTACTAAAGGAGGCAAATTAATTATATCAAGAATCTTAAAGCAAGAGGAATAAAACTTCATGCTGTTATAGCACCAAAAACTTCCAAGTAAGATTCTGAAATGACTTGAAAGCAGGCCCTATTTATGTGTGAATACAATATTCTGGTTGCAACCTTGAAGTTGCTAAATCTTAAGCATTTACTTCAAAGAAGAGACCATTTATTTACTTGTGAAAGAAAAGCAATATGTTACATTCCCACCTAGAACCTATTTCCAAATAATAAATTATAGATATTTACTTGTAGAGAAAATTAGAAATTTTCCCAGGTTAAAAGCCGTTTGATCAAGTGATAATCTACGTATTGCAGTAGAGAGAGCAGATTTCCCAAGTTATGGAAAAGCAATAATTATCTCTAAAAAAAAAAGGAACCCTTCCCCAAAGGAGTAAACTAGCAAGCCTCAATCACTAGTGTTCATCTTAGAAAATAAGTCCATTATTCAAAGCTATAGAGCTCAGCGCAGTTGTAGCTACTCACCAGTCACTGCTTCCTCTCATCTCTCATTAGTTTAGGCTACACAATCCTTCCGTAGACTAAGGGGCCTTTAATACACTGGACAGGCACTCATGCTTAAATACAGCCGGCCAGAAGTCACATGGACGTCGAGCATTAACCATTCAGCACTGGATATTTGTTAATTGCATATGAAACTGAACAGAACGTCACTTTTGCATTTTCTTCTGTTTTCCACTACGGCTCCTTGGATAAAGCTTATTAGCAATTGGTCACTCCTCTTCCTCAATAAATAGTTAATGCAAAGAGCAATGCCTCCCTCATTACTTAGGAGCCAAATGGATGCTTTATTGCTTCAAAATGTTTTTCTAGGACAGCTCATGAAATGCAGCAGAGAGGGACCATTAAATCATAATACACCCCTGGCTCTGATGACTGGCACAGCACTCCAGAAATCTCGGTGTGTCAATGGACTGACTGAATCAATCTGATATTTATCTGAATAAATATCACCTCTAGCATGTTTTATTTAATTTTGCTGCTATACTATATGATGTAACGCTAAGGATTCCCTCTCTCTCATTAAGATCTTAGAGTGAGTGAGACATGTATTACTTAGGTAAATAAACCAGGCTTTCTATTTTATTTTGTTTTTTTGTTGAATTCTAAGTAAAGCAGGATGTCTGATGGTTTTAACTATCTTTAATGCCTTTCTATTCTTTAAAAGCCATTGTGGATTCAGTAAAAAAGAGGGGAAAGGATAGAGAAATAGCTTCTAATTTTTCTTGTAGCTTTTGGAGCTACATAAATGCCTCAACTCTAAAGGATTTCGGCAACATAACTCATGCATGTACCTCATACGCTGACGAAGTAAAATGTTTACATTTTCAACTTCTCCTTTTTTAAAAAAAATGTGTTTTAAAATGGGCAGTAATAAGTAAAGATCATGACATATTCTAAAAATAAAAGCTAAGTTTTTAAGAGCCAAACAGAAATTATAAATAATTGTGATTTACAAGCCTCGTGATTAAGAAATCTATTACAAAGTTACATTATAAGATGTTGACACAAGGAAAGAAAATCCTTCATAAATCGTGCAATGCAGAGATGTCTCGCTTTGTGGCTGCAGGGTGAAAAATACCTCAGGGAGCAGCCTCGGCCCAACTGAAGACAAGGCTGGTTTACCAAGCAAGCCTGTAACATCTCCCAGATTGTCCCTTTCCTCTCTGGGCTAATCACTCCTCAGGCCTCCAATGCTCTGAGCCCCCTCCCCAGCTTTTACTTAAATTCTTCCTCATCACTGACCTTTGTAGAAAAGAATATGCCAACGGTCCCATCTGCTAATGACAGGCTCTAGCTGTATCCTCACCGAACCTCATTACACTATAGTAGTTCCTCATCCAAATCTTTGTCAGGAAAATATCTGAGGAGCCGCAGACTCTGAAAATTATCTGGCTCTTATTCTGAAAGCCTTTTTATTGTGACAAGGGAGTAGGGTGGGGAGATGGAAGGATAGAGGAGGGGGCTATTCCCAGGGAAGACTCTCTGAGCCTGTTGGGGGCCAAAGGCAGGATGTTTCTAGAACTAGAGGACTCTAACTTTCTTGAAGGATCTGCAGTTTCTCTACCCTAAAGTGTCCCCTAGCCCCTGGCCTCATCTTAACCCTTACTTTTACCCTCTCTTCCCACTACCGCAACATTCCCAAATGACTTTTTTTCAGGCACATCTGAACTTACGTCAGTAATTAGTTTCTTCAAACTATAACCACCACTCCCATCTTGGGTCCTGGGAAATACACCTGTCATCCACCCCAGCATTTATTGAGTGTTTACTGCATGCCAGAGCCCGGGCATACAAACCATATGGGCTTTGCCTTACCAATCTATAAGGGAGACGGGTAGGTAAACCAAGATCCGCCTGTCCGAAAAAGTGCTGTATAAGATGGAATACAAAGGAAAGACATCTAAATTCGTCTTCTAAGTGCTACGTCAAATAATATACAAACTCCACGGGAACAGAGATATTGTTCTACTTTGAGAGTTCCTGGCCTCTAAGGGTTAATCCAACAACACTATTCTGTTGTATAAGGATCAAGAATTTCTCAGTCTGGGAAAGCATGTAAATACATAAAACAGATATAAAACAATCTGGCATTAAATATATAAAATTCCATCAAAGAGTACCATTATAGTTAAGACTTTAAATATATAAACATGCACAGGAAAAAAAAAAAACCAAATACCGTACTGGTTATCTTTCAGTGAAAGAATTGCAGATAATTTAAATATGATTTTTTTGGTTGGTCTATGGTTTCTAAAGTAAATAGGTAGTGTTTCAGTAACAAAAACATTCTTTAATTTTTTTACTAACAGAAGAATGGGAATTTAGAATTTAAAAGTTTGCACTGTTCCAAAGCTGGAGTTTTCCAGCTTGGCTGCACTTTAAAATCACACGGGAGACTTTTAAAAACCCCAACGTCCAGGCCACGCTCCACACCAATGAACTCAGAACCTATGAAGGTGGGACTCACTACCAGTTTTTGTTCTATTTTTTTTAACTCCCAGGTGATTCTGAAGTGCAGCCAACTTTGGGAACCTGTGTTCTAAAGATATTTTATTGCAAATTCCCAACTGGAAACCACTCATGTAACAGCAGAGTGATTCAGTGCCTAAACCCTGGAGTCAGACGGACTCAGGATGAATACCAACAGCATCCCTTCTTACGTGTGTGGCTATGAACGTTTCCTTGAGCCTCAGTTTCGTATCTGCAAGAGCTCTGCTGAGTGTGGTGTGGATTAGAGAGACAACCCAAGCAAAGCCTTCAGCACAGTGTCTGTTACAAGCCAAGCCTCACTAAATATTAGCATCACAATTATTCTTAGCGCTGACAGGGATGATGTACATATTTACAGCTTTCTTCTATAAGGTATATATTTCTTGTGTAAGTGTGGTACACAGACAAAAGTAAAAGTAACAGGAGCTTAGGTCAAAAACGGAGGCATTTTGCCAACGAAATAGTCACTGACTAACAAACCACCAAAATAGAAATAAAGATAATGACCTATTCCTTAGAAGACATTAGGAAAACATCAACAAACTAATTAAGAAGAAATGGTCTCCCCTCCCCTTCATTGCACTGCGTCTAACCTTATCCAAAGCAGGAATATAACGGCAAAAGGCTTACCAAAGAGCATGAGATCCCAGTACAGCAGTGAAAGAGTTCAGAATGCCGTCTCTAGTAGGTATCATGCCTAAACTATTCAAGATAGAGGGTTCCTCCTTTTAACTCAGATTTCTGATTCTGCAATGAAGGAAATTCTGCAACCTTCTGTGTAACTTTAAGGGTCCAACAAATTCTTCTGTTCAAAAATTCTTATTTCTAATCTAAAGTTGTTTACAACATACTGATCACATCCGCACCCTGGCATACTTATTGTTATATCTTTAGTGATTAATTCTGAATAGCCCTGACAGAAATCAGGATTCATTTGCAGTGAGAAACCTTTCTTGGAGAGCAGGACAAACAAAAAGTTTAGTTGTGCAATAAAAATTTTTGTTGTCTATACTTATTATAACTTAGGGGATATAATTTGACTTTTGTTAAAGCCCAATCAGGTATAAACACGTGTCTTTATAACACTAGGTTTGCTATACCTGAAATTGCCAAAAGCTCAGTCTTTTTTTTTTTTTAACATCTTTATTGGGGTATAATTGCTTTACAATGGTGTGTTAGTTTCTGCTTTATAACAAAGTGAATCAGTTATACATGTACATATGTTCCCATATCTCTTCCCTCTTGCGTCTCCCTCCCTCCAACCCTCCCTACAAAAGCTCAGTCTTAATATTCCTCTTCCA